TAGGGTCAAGCTATTAGGTTTATGTGAGCTGGAAGACAGAATAGTCCAGGCATTCTTTAAGAATAACTTATTTATCCTCTAAGTAAATATTTATTGTTTTAGTTTTAGCTATGAACAAAAGTGTGTTTGAAAGGAAAACTAAACATGAACGTGAGTCACATTATTCTACATCTTACATATTTTTGGTTTTTTTTTCTACATATCATAGAAATAGTCAATATTTTTAAAATTCACAATTTTGATTAATTCCCTCAATGGAATTTCAAATTTCAACTTTTTTTAAAAGTTTGATGAACATTTTTATGATATTGTACATCATATTTCTAGCCATTTTTATACTTACCGGTAATTTGCCGATGTTCTTTTTTTAATCACCCAGCGACTTTATTCATTTATTTTTTTTGGTTGTCACTTAAACTGTGTAGAATGTTAATAGGAAGGAGTTTTGTAAGGAAATGAGAATGTGACTCTTTTACTAGAGAGTTAGGGGGAGAGGGAGGGGAGAGCCATGTTCAGAAGTCCAGCATATTTACTTCAGAAGTCACCCAATACACATGTTTAAATATAATAGATAGACTGAATCTGTTCTACAACCTTAAATAAGAGGAAGTTGGTTTTTAGCTCATACTGTAGAAGCTCATGCATTAAACTCCCGAGGCTCCAGGTTCAATCCCGACTGATGTCAAGCAAGGTCTGTTGGAGTTACATCTCCACACACTATTAAATGATGGGGAAGTTCCTGCTCTACCTTGAATTTGAAATGTAATGTTACATTGTCCTTTTTTTAATTGCTATAAACATAGAATGTGAGAGTTTCTTCCCTTTTTTTCAGTAAAGAGAGTGAGTGATGGCAGCAGAGATTGTCAATGCAGGATCTCTCGGAATCTGGCAGACGACGTCTTGCTTCTAAAATCCTTGGATGCTTTTCATCTGGGCTGGAAAGAATCTCGCAAGCCGGAAAAAATCCACAAGGGAGCCCTTGTGTCCCCCCACACCCCCAATAGCTTGTTCTTCTCCTTTTAGTAAAAGTAGCTGCTGGTTGTGGTGGTTTGCAAAAATGCCTGTGAGTATTTTGATTCCACACAGGTGCTGTTTTGCTATTTCTTTTCCATAAAAATCCCTTCCTTCTGTTATCTTAACTACGTATAAATAAAAGAAATGGTCACTGCCACATGTAAAATCCACTCAGGGGTGTTCCTAGACCAGGGAACATACATATTTATACATTTCAGTGAGCTCACATCGATAAATCATGACCTTTTCCTGGGTCCTTTGACAAAGCCGTTTGGTTTGTGTTGTTGTCAGAGGAGTGGGATTCAGTGATCGGAGGCCTGTATCCATGTCCTTTCAAGGAACAAAAGACTAACTTGTTCTGGGGAGCCCTCTGTATATCAGAGAAAAGCACCATGATAATAACTTGGAAATTCCTAGAGGAATACGTCCCTTGGCCCGCGCCGCTTCCAGCAGCTCCCATTGGCCTGGAGCAGCAACCCGCAGGCAGTGGGAGCTGTGATCTGCCGAACCTGTGGACGCGGCTGGTAAACAAACCGGCCCGGGCCACCTGGGGCTTCCTCTACACAAGCAGCATCCCAAATTTGGGAAACACTACACAAAGTCATTAGAATACAGTTTTAAAAACTGGTCAAAAGGTAAACCATTGTTACGGTGATGGAAGGAAAACACACAGTGATAGCTACAGGTAGGAGTATGGGGCTTTTGTAATTGTCAAGGGTGGAACATAATGTCAGCAGCATTTTTATTTAAAAATGTCATGCTGCTTCTAGGAAAGAACATGCTGTTCAGGCTTTGTCCGTATGAGACAAATAACTCTCTGTGGTAATTCTCCAGGTACAAGGTGAGCCAATGTTCACCCAGTTGGTTG